AGGAGGGAGAGCGGTTTGAAATTTATTTATTTATTTATTTAGAAGATTTGCCGACAGGTAGGGACACCGCAACAGCTTTCCGCCAATCACTGCGGGCTCAGTAACCCATCCAACCCACCCCAGGGGAGGACAACCATCACACAGTAATCTCGTGCGTGGGAAATTAACGTCTCCTACCCCTAAGCCTGCAGGAGACGGGACCTCCATTTATTCGTCCCTATCCGAGAAGACTAGAATATCTAACCGTTTCTTGATATTATAGAAAGGCAGCATATTCTTCTCAATTATTTTAAGATATTGAGTGCTGATCTGGCCGGGGCTCGAACTCTCGACCTCCCGCACAACAGTTCAGCGCTCTATCCATTGAGCTAACCGAGAGGCGGTTGAAATTTCACTTTCATAAGCCGGGGCAAGAACAATGGAAATTCCTGAACAATCTCAGTTTATGCAGGCCGCACACGAACAACAAAGTAGTTAGGGCAAAACATTTATTTCAAAGTTATTTTTCAGATCCAGAAACCGGAGACATTGAAAAAAATATACTTTAAACACGAAGGCGCGCTATATAAGGAAGTCTTCCCTGGGAAGACCTAGGCTCATTTGTCACTCACCGTTGACGTGTGCGGGTCAAATTTAAATGCTGGTAGACGAACAAAAGGAGCTAATGAGATATCTATTGTTTACTTCCACCAGCATGGTGGCATGAGGTAACGTGCGAACCACCTACTTCGATCTCAAATTTACCGCCACAAATAAAGACAGTTTCCATTGGAGAAAGGAAATACAAATCTCAAAAATTCTTGTATTGTGATGAAGACATAAAACAATTTTGATGAATGCGCCCGCTGTTCGCTGCTTTGGAGTAGCTGTAGCTCAAGCTGACTTGACTCTTAGAGTTCTACATCACACGACGGTTGATTGACAAATGGTCCAGTGGGACCTAAGGCTCCTTTTATAGCGCGCCTTCATGTTTAAATGGAAGCTAAAGGTGTAATTCCAAAAGTTTTTCTACGGAATACTGTTTCAATTTTTGAAGCACCTGACGGAGATAGGAAAATTCGAACTGCGCCGGGCAAAAGCAATGAAGATTGCAGGATTCGTCGACGCAACTTCTTGGAGAAAAAAAAAAAAAGGAAGAAGAACTTACTAGAAATCAAGACAACCGAAGTACAACCGCTCACAATGGCTATCAGTGAGGTCTCCGCATTACCACAAGTCTTCCATTTCCAACGGTCGCATTTTTTTGTTTCAACTTTCTCGTTCTCGACTCCATAATCGTTGCACAACAGTGTAGTTTCGCACCAGAAACATTTAGAATCTTCCACGCATTTTTCGCAGTTTTTGGCGGCGCTGCAGGCCAAAGTAGAGTTCGTCGTTTGACCGCAAATGATCCTCGATCCTAAGTAAACAACTGCCGAGACAGCAAGTAAAGCTTTTTGCAGAAGATTCATAGTTGGCAGACACTAGTAAAGCTGATTTCTTGAAATGTGTTTGAAGCGATTTTGATTCACGTGTTACGCATTGAATACAGTTAATTCGTCAACCTTCGAGTTTAAATCTGCGCGCGCAAGCTGGGGCTCGTTAATTTCGATAGTCTTGTCAACGAGCATGACATCCTTTTTTTCATCAACGTCACTTTCTCATCAATTCCTCACTTGGAATTGCTCTGAAACACTATAGTACCACACAGGAGAGACAAAATAACGGCTGTTTTTATTGAATATTGTTTATTCAATATAGACCTTTGTTACAGTTGTGCAATGTCATCTAATGTTCGCGGCTTCTAAGGGGGTCGGGATACGTGTGATTGCACATTTTTCACCATTCCCAAACAAAGTGCATGCTTTAATTAAAGAAAGTACATATCTTGCGGGTAGGGATGTGGTGCCCAAGGCCTTATCTCGGAAACTCGGTTGTGTTACGTCAGGCCCATGTCGTAAACACTTCTACGCCCACGTGTAGTGATTACCACGCACGTTTCCGTTACTTATTGCTGACGTGGCCAATACAAACTTCCGTGGCAAGTTCTGCCAGGAAATTCTTGTCAAAAGATACTAATCTAATTGGCGACAAAGATCTATTACAAATTTCAAGAAGGCCTCCTTTAACCAAATGCACAACATTTACTTCTCAAGACAAAGTACATCATGTCCCTCGGCTTGGCGAAAAACCTAAGTAAGGTAAAGTATATCGGTGTGGCATGAAAACTAGATATTTTTACAGTTAAATTGTGATTTGCAATCCATTCAACCTTTCAACCTTTGCAATCCATTCAACCTGTTTTCATCTTTACTGATCCTTGTTTCTTTTGAGTATATTGTAACTGCACTTCTGCGGAATCTGTAGCTGGAATTGACAACTCCGCGTCTTTATACAAACATGATCTTTATTACTCTACGACTGACGTTGTGGTTGAAACTAAAGAAAATAACAAACGGTTACACTAGTTACACAACATACAACCTAAAGAAATAACGAACAACAAGGCTATAAAATACTTACGTTGTTACGGCCACAGAAACGTTACGCAACTGCACGAAAAAAATGGAAACGGTTATATTACATGATAAATTATGCAGGCAGCACAGAGCAACAGAAGGCGGCAACGAAATGACAAGAAAGGCGCTAATGAAACAAGTATAATTACAGAGTGAAAAGACTTAAATAAATGTGTTCCAAACACGCAAAGAGAAAAAGAGAAGAAAAGAAAACCAAAAAAAAAAAATGACAAAAGAAATGTCGCACTTAGAACTTACATATATTATTTCGTCTTTAATATTTGTCCACATGGACAATGAATTATATCTGAGGTTTCATTCTGTTTAAAGCGCGCTACATACCTCCAATAAGTCGAAGAACTAACAAAATATGCTGACAAGGCAAGCAAATAAAAACTTTGTCAAGCACACGAGGTCTTAAACAAGTTTACATGCATTACAAATAACACGAAGGTAATGACGTTGTAATGATCACCGTTAGCCTGAAGTCATCTGATCAGCGCGGTTTTGTTGTGCGTCTTTAAAAAGTTGTGAACCTATTTTCATTAGCTTATAGAACTGACAAAATATGCCAACAATCAAACTTTTTAGTCTCAGCTCTTCCTTGTTCCTTTTTAGTTTATTCTCTCGTCTATGATATTTGTCCACGCTACAAGAAATTATTTTGAGATTTTATTCTTTTAAAGCGCGATACATACCCTCATTAAGTCAAAGAAGTAACAAAATTTGCTGACAAAGCAAGCAAATAAAACCTTTGTCAAGCACACTAGTTCTCAAACAAGTTTACATGCGTTGTCACATATACAGTGACATTGTTGTGGTCACCAGTTGCCTGAAGCGCGGTTTTGTTGTGCGTCTTTAAAAGTGGTGAACTATGATAAATTTTACACTCCGCAAAGTGTTCAGGGAAGCAGGTCTATGCTGCCTCAATGTCTATATTGTACGTGCTCTCTTCAGAAATGCTAACAAGTTGGATCTTTAATTGTCAAACTTTGCTTTACAGCTCAATGATTTACAAACTCGTTCGACCTGTTAAGCACTATTAAAAATTTACCCTCCAAAATCTTCTTGAAGAGAATACACCGTAACGAAAATTACAAACAGGAATCAACTGTAAAAAAGAATAAAATAATGAAATTTTCAGCGTGACGAGTTTCGCCAAAGCAAATCGACATCGTGCTAAATGGCATACGAAGGTTTGTGAACAGGTCGGCAAAAAATATCATCGCTTTTAATTCATCTAACAACATCGTGCAACTACTATATCTTGACCGTATTTTTTTTAAAGAATTTTGGACCCAACTAGCCTTAGACATAATACAGAAATCTAGAACAACTTCTAGTCGAACAGCATGCGGCAAGAATGTAAGTTTTACTGACTGCTTTTGAGCCCTTCGCCATGCAGTTTGATTTTATGCATTTTTGCTGACTAAGAGATATTTTCAAAATTTTCAGTTAGCCTCGTTTAAGGATTATACGAAAATCGAGCGAAATCAGAAGTGCAACAATAATTTTTGCTTCCGCAAAGGATGCAAAGTTTGGTAGAGCGTTTCTGTCTTAGCTTATTTACCAGTTATCATATGCTACTTACGCCTTTATGCTTGACAAAGAATTGCGATTTTTGAAATAGATCACTGCACTTGCAAATTATCTTACTTGCTTTTCTTCTAGCAGGGTTTGCCTACCGTTTCAAAGTTGTCCTTGATTCGTTTTATTTTCAGGAGCAGATCATATTCTTTTTGTTACCTAATAGATCATTATTACCTAGTTTCTGATAAGTTCCCTTGCTTACCAAGCCCGGCAAACATTAACAAAGTTGACATCGATTTCGGCAAGAAACAAAAAGTATGCGATAGATAAACCATCAACATTTGAACCAGTCGCTTCATCTACGACTAATTAGTATCTGGGAGAAGTTGTACAAATGGAAACTGAGAGATTTCCACATAAGAAATTACCGCTAGCTATACTGTGTAAAGCCTGTAAAAATAGGCCTTACGCTTGGGGATTCCCCTACTCTGCAGCCATCAATTATAAACCAGCTGCCAGAAGATCTAATTTCCATATCTTATTACACTGGACGCTAGCACAGGGATCTTTCCCTTACGTTTTCTTCTTGGCTATTCAAAAGAGAAGGTAAGTTTGAAATAGTTTGTTGGTCGTTCAAGTGTATCATAGCGCTCGCAAAGTTTTGAAAATGTCGCGCTTAAATGCGCGAACCGCACCAAAAATTCAAATTAATTGATTCAAAATGGCGGAATTTCGATTTGTGCTTAAAGCAGCATATTTCTCGCTTGTTTCTCAGAAGCAAATGCGACGAAATATGAGTGAATTAGAAAGACAGGAACATGATGTACATACTTTACTTTCGATGTTTTGATTTCTGGGTTTTCTTGTTAGCGGAAAACCTCGCTTCATGAGCAAATTTGCATCGAGCGGATCGATGAAGCGAACTCATTACCGAGGACACAAACAGAACACATGGAAGCGAACGACACGCCATGTCAGCAAGTCGCTGAACTACAAAGGGAATACGAGCGACTCTCCTTGGAAAAAGACCAGTATCTTCAGACCTTAAACAACAGCGAAGCCTTGAAACTACAGCTACGCGAAACGCGTAAAGATGCCAAACATTTGTCAAAACAAAAGAAGAAATTGCAAGCCATGACGGATATTGGGAAGCCGAGCGAGGAGGTAATTAAGGCAATGGGTTTAGGAGTTGATAATGTTATAGCAGTATTTTTTTAACTCTCCTTAGGGCTTGAAATGTGAAAACTTGGGTAAAGATATAGACAAAATCAACGAAACAAGCCATGGTTCAGGTTTAGATACTAATGCTCACTCAACTGTGATTTCAGAAAGAAAATTAGCATACGCTAAGTCAACGAGTTTATTCATGTGTAAAACAAGAAGACATCTTTTTAAACAGTAGTGGAACTACCTCATGGACTTGACCATCAAATTAAATACCCAAAAAAATCCGTGAAGGGCATATTGTTGGGCATACCAATTTCGACGGTTTCCGGCATACCTATTCTGAGCGGAATTACGCCTTGGCCAAGGAAAAGTACGTGCGTGATTCGGTAGGCAATGAATCCAGTTCAAACGGGAAAGTACTTTTCGTTGTTCTACACTGCCGTGTCCCACGCAAATGTTTTAAAGTTTAATTCCTAAGTGATCAAGTAACCAACCAGTTTGTGATATGTCCTGACCCTTTGTCGGTCATGTGAGAAGCTTCGAGATATCTTATCACCATTCGAAATAACCTTGAATGGTAAAGCGGGGGTTCTCTTTCAGAACCAAGCTGTTTGCCACGCATACAAATATAAATTGCCTTCGCTCTGCTTGCAATACCAAATGGTTTAACTGCAACACAGATATAACGCAAAGCTTTATCTCTAGTCACCTTCGTAAGAGAATGCTGGCTTGAAACCAAAACTATCGAAATCGAAAACGGTAAGTTCATGATCTTGGATCATTCCAAGTTTTTACTTTTCTTTTATTTCATTTTTTTTTCCTCAAGAGACACTTCATTTTTCATTGTCTGTGCAGTTGCCACGGAGGCGCGCAATGGAAATTTGTTCAAATGTGTTAAACCGTCAACACAGTATCGTCACTAAGCATTCAATTATGTCTCGTCGGCGTCCGTCGAAGATTAATATCATTCGCCGTAATCCTTTTTTCATTTGCGTCAGCGTGAAAAACAAATGCACGACTCGATTACAATTTGCTAGAAGTGCCATTTCAGCCAACTCTTTCAGTAGTTCGACTTTATTAAGGGGGCACTGCATGCTGTACAGCGATCAGACTTCTAAACTCTGTCAAAGTCGGTGAAGTAACTCGTGTTATGCTATGAGTCCAGGCCAGTTTAAAGAATATTATTTATATAGCATCTGATATGAATGGGACTTTTTTTCCAATTAAGGGTTTGGCAAATCCTTTTGTTTGGTTGTGTTGTCAAAGAGTTCTTAATTTTATGTTTTCACTCATTAGTAAAACTTTAAACTCGGCATGACGTAATGGATGGCGGCAGTTAAATCAGTGAAACATTGTGATACCGAAGAGTGACTCTGGAAAAAAATTTTGGTCCTAACTGAAAATTAAGAACATTTTCCAAGGAAGTGTGAATAAATAAATATAATATGTGAAACGGTTAAACTTATTCCGTTTGCCGTCAAAGAAAAAAAGGGGTCTATTGACTTTTTCTACAAAGTTCAATTTTCCGTGACAAGCATATACATTACTACTAAAAATATCCCTTCTAAAGCTATTTTAGTCTTAAATAAAAAAAAAATTAAAAAAAATAACAAGAAATAACAAGACAACAATGAATCTTTGGTCTCTAGGAGTGACTAGGCGAAGAATAAATAGGGGCGAACATGGAACATCGCCAGAGCTAACACACCCAAAAGCATCGTAAAGCTTTATTTGGATCCCTTTTTGTTGACAACATCTCTTATAAGGGTTTTCCCCCATTAAGTTAACAACATGTTTCAGTCCAGTTTGAGAAGCTTGCGGCTAGGCGCAGGCATTTTAACTTGTGCCGCCAAAAATTTCAGGTTTGATTTTGGACCCTTTATAGGCGATAATTAGTCAGACTTTTCACCAGCTGACTCGCGGAAGCAATGTTTGAAATTTCAGTACTTGATATACTTTAAACGTTTGTTACATGTTACGACTGACACTGATTTTGATTTATACCAGATTTTGCTGGAGTTACAATGTGCGGTTCTAAGATCTTGCGAAGTTTCCTTCTTATTGGATGAGTGATCAATTAGATCTTTTACAGTTTGGTCGAACTTAATGCGCTTTTAAAATCCAGATAAAGCGGCACTAATATTAATCTTTGTTAACTTAACGTGGTTGAGAGATATGCGGAAATGCTAAAAATAACTCGTCTACTTAAATAGCAAGCTTCCCTCCAAAAGTTTTGCCTAAACTTAAAACGACTGTTATTTCAGAGTTCAGCTATGTAGGCTGCAGTTGTTTGTTCGTATGGGACTCAGTTCGTGAGTTTTGAAAATCTTATTTGAATATTGGTTAAACAACTGCATAACTGTATCAGAATTCACATGAGAAGTATTATTTCCTCTTAGCGACGTCGTGTTTACTCATTAACAGAACAGTAGGGCTCGTGAACTTTTGTAAGCAGGAAATTTTCACTCAAGACCGTGATGCTTCGTACTTTAAACAACAAGATTGAACTTGATATCGGGTGTAAAATATTACCGAGTAGATCCTCGTAAACTTAGAGGCTTTAATAGTGTCATCTAGGGAGCACCTTGCCGGGAAAGTGTCGCGTTAATTTTCATAGCGGTATGAACCCACAGTTGTAATTGAAACAAACTTGAACATGAAATTTTTGGAAAGTGAAACAATTCTACAAAGATTGTGTGAAGTGCAAGAGGGTCCTCACGTCGTATCAAAGACGAAGAGTATGAAAATCTTTCAGTTACTTACTTCTTTCCGGCGACCCGAGAAAAACTCCATTTATGGTAAAATCAGGGTGCTTTTGTTTTCAGCAAGTTAAGGGACTCGAAGGACTGCCCTACAGTAGTTTGATTGTTTTCAATATCTTAACAATAGTTTGTTCTGCTTGTTCTTCTTGACACAATTCTAAATAATCCACTTCCGCTTTCTTCATTGTTCCCTAAATATTCCCCGCTTTCGTCCACAAAATTTCCCCTAACAAACCGAAATGTTAACAACACTAAATTTAGTTAGATGATACCCCAGGGCTTACGAATTTTACAATCACTTTTGAAGCAGTCTCTGTGTATAAATTCAGCAATCTACCGTTTCGATACTCTTATTAATTCAAATTCAGTTCGATCGAGTTTCCCTGATATGATATTATGGACTTATCAGTATCTTCGAAGTGGACACTAGTGGTAAGGTTTTTTGTTTTATTTTTTCTTTTACCTCGATCGGTGATCTATTTCCGATCTTTTCTATTTCTAAGTTTAAAGGAATCGACGTCATAGCACTCCGGCCGTTTCTTGTGACGCCCAACTTTCCATATTTTTATGATGTCTTCACTATGAAGGAAACTGTAGAATATTAATACAAAAAACATCATCTGGGACCCTTATGAGTAAAATTGATCGAGCGAGAGGACGCGAGGTAAGATACGCAAATGAGGATAGGAAAAATTAACACAGACTGAAAATCACGATCTGAGGATGGCCAAGTTACTTTAAGTTACTACCAAAACAATTTCTACCCCGCCTCGATAGAACGAATTATTACATCATCTTCTCGTTTCGACAGTGACTAAATTTTAACCAGAAGCCTTCAACACCTCTGTTGAACTTGAAAAGTTTATCTTTCGTAAAGTATATGTTTTTACTTTTCTATTAAGCCCAAAATTAGAATGATTTGTTGCATGACTCCGTGTTATTTTGCGGTTGAAGCTGTTTAACCGGGAAATATCGTTTCGAAAGAGAGACCCTCTTTTTCTGCCAGGAGACAATCTTGATATACACATTTGATTTTATTGCCAGAGGAACAACAACGTATGAAATAAAACACTCAATCGCCGATCTGTTCTATTTCCTTGCAAGTTTTATTCTAGGAAACGAAATGTATTAAAGTTTTGTTTTATTTTTAGCAGAGGTATGTAAATTGCTTAGATCAAAAACAAACTTCAAATAATTCATGATATATCGGTTTATTAAAATTTTGTATTCATATTAATTTCATTCATTTGAGCGTGTTTCTGGAACTAGCCTAGGGCACAACAAAAATCCTACTAAAATGAGAATAAGTGAAACCTTTAACTCCTTCAGGTAGTTAACATGTAACTGAGACCGTAATCAAATGTTTTCTTATTTGTTTTCAGACATCAGATCAGCCTCCTGAAGACCGGAATCCTCGGGGAGAAAATCCCTTTGCTCTAGAGCCGATTCACACTGCACCGCAAGAAACATTTCCTTCTAGAGAACAAACGTACTCTCTTCCATCGCAAGAAAGTTTCTCCCCTCCCTCATCTCCACAGGACTCAGGAATGAATGGTCACATCTCCCCAGTCCTCCCTACTTCCAACGGATTTGGGAAGGTTGAAAAGCCCTCCGAGTGGGGCACCTTGGATGCGAAAACTGAAGCTAACGCTCTAAGGATTGAAAACCGAGATTTGGTCAGAATGAAGAGAAAGCAGGAAGAACAGGTTCGAAACATGTCTCAGGAGCTTGTTGTAATGGGAACGAGATGTAAAGAACTTGAGAATATTGCTCAGCGGTAAGTTACTGGTACTGGAAGCTCCCGCGCACTCGATGCGGCTAAATTCTGATATCAAAATATATTTACCATCTCAATTACTGGAAATGGTACAGAAAAGATTGGTACTTAAACCTTAACAAACTATTCAAGGGAAGTATAAACCTAAAAAGAATTTTATCAGTACAAGCCCACTGACAGGTATTTGTGTGCTGATCGTAGATCCATTTTTCCAGCGCTTCGAGTGGGCGCCTTTTTTTCGCGCTCGGTGCCGGCTTCAACGCCAGCTCCACGTTTTCCATGGCTAGTCCCATGCTTTCCCGCCCTTTGCGTTGGCGCCATTTCTCCCGCGCTTGATATCGACTTCCTATTCGCTGGTTCACTTCCATTTCTCTGTTGTTGAAGTCCAAATTGTAATTAGTTCTATTCATACCGAGTTCTTTCTGGGCCTTCTATGAGCTGAATAAATTAAATAATTTGGATATATCAACAAAGTTGAAATGGTAAATTGGCCACCGTAACGATTACAAAAGCTGACGTTTCGAGCGTTATCCCTTCGTCATTCGCTCCGACGAAGGGCTAACGCTCGAAACGTCAGCTTTTGTAATCGTTACGGTGGCCAATTTACCATTTCAACTTTGTTGATATATGCAAATTATTTCGTTACCCCCACTGACGCAGCCCCAAACAGTTTCTTTCGAAACTATCAGCCTTTATTCATTTGAATAAGTTAAACTTTCGTTCTTATTTCAGCCTTGAAGCCGAAAACCAACGCCTTTCGCAGCAATTGGGTCTTGTACATGGTAATTTGCAGAGAGGTGATCAATATGGTCCAAATGAGGAGGTTCAACTGTTGAGAGCACAGGTACTATACGATATGTCTTAATTTTCTTTCTTTTGCAGAAGAAACTAAAAACATCAAGACTTGCCTCCTGTCGGCCATGGAACCGAGTTCGAGGACAACGACCTTAGTTAACTCCCAAGTTCTTGAAATTTATTTTCCCTTCTCGTTGCTGGAAAATATCTCGTAAATTCTTCTCATAACGTATTTTTTTTAATGTGATGAAATTAACCGTACATATTATCAACATGGATATCTCTATACTGTTGTCTACACATTTCCTAAGGTGCTGACAAGGAGAATTTGTTTAGCAATCAGGAGCCTTTTTAGTTGGTGATCAGTTCCTTTAGAACTAGGATGTTTATCACCTCTCGGATTCTAAAGTTTAACTTTTCTCAACCACAACTTTCTTCACAGCTGAAATTATACGAAGATGATTTCAAGAAAGAGCGATCGGAGAAAGAACAGCTGATCACACAGAAAGAACGCCTCAAGAGGGAACTGAGCGATTCCAACGCTACTGTTGCTGGTCTGCAACGTCAGCTAAAACAGGTAAATAGGATAAAATATCAGTCACGTGAAGCCGCATGCTCAATAGAGAGCTTTGGCTCCGCGTTTACGTGAACTAGCGTGAACCTTACTGTTTTAGCTTCGCGTGAGCTCTCTTCATGGTAGATTTGAAGGCGTCCTTGTGTGACTCACAAGGAAGAGTTACTTTCACGGAGAACGGCAAAGTGCAAACGGCAAACGTGAAAAATTGCGAGGAAAACGTGGTCACATGGTCACTCTGGCCGTTCACGTTTCGCGTAAATGCGGCGCTAAATCTCTCTAATATTTGCTTGCGCACGCGAAGAACCAAAATCACCAGTTTGTATTCAACTAATGTGTATAGCCGACAAAGGTTTCTACCCTCTCCACTTTTAGGTGAATATGTAATATTAGGGATCGGGGGAGGGTGGTTGCTGTGAAGATGTCATTTAAAAAAAAACAAAAAAAAACAAACTTCAGAGCTGCAAGGTGAATTTCTGCCCCTACTATAAGATTCACAATCAAACAGCTATTCAATAGGTAGTCTGGAAAAACCGGGATCCGGAGTTCCACCAGAATTCCGGATTCCGGCTTTTCCAGACTACCATTTTCAATAAGGGTCGCCCCAAGAAGCATAAGCTACTTTATGGTTTTGGAAGACGCGGTGGTCTACCGGTTGGCGCACTGGACCCAAGTGGTCCAAACGGTCCAAGTTCGAGACCAGGCCTGGTCGCTTTGATGTATTCTTGGCCAAGACACTTCACTCTCAGAGAGCCTCTCTCTCCAAATATGCGTAGACAGGGCTGAAATGCTACGTCAGAGGGTATGCGGCCATCAACGTGGGCTCAAGTGTTCTAGGTCTAAAATTTAGCGAAATGAACGGAAAATAATAAGGGCTGACATTTAAAACCGAGGAACTTTGTTTCCGTCGAAGGCATTTTTTTATTTTCAGAGGTTTTAAGAAATTTGATTTTCGAAAATTTTGGGGTGTACCAAGTTTTTGGAGGTTGTTCTGTAAAAGAAAAGCGGCGAGAAAAACGACGCCTCGAAGCAACAGAATGGGAAATGAATTCTGCAAACTACTCAAAAATCCATTTTCCGCGGCAAAACCTAACGCATGCGCATGCGTTATTCAGCTCTGTCCCAGGCGTGTAAATTGTTACCGGCGAAAAGTTATTGAAGACTGATAAAATTCTGGTCGGTAACCTACGATGTAATGGCATCCCATCCAGGGGGGAGTAGTACGCTACGGAGTCTGCGATCAGCCCCGGCGCCATGTAGGCCAATTAACGCGGGTGCAGACTTTATTTTACCCTTGTTTACGGTATGAAATTATCAAAGTTTGTAGTGTACTGTTTTTTGAACTTCGTTCCTTTCTTGACATAGAAATAAACATTTTGAATTTCTAGGCTCTCAATGGCGAAGGTGGATATGGTGATCCACGCGGTGCCCGCGTGGCGATCATGAGCGAGCCGTACGTCGATCCATACGCATTGAGGCATCCTTTGGATTATGGGATGGCACGTTCATACTCGGGAGGGTACATTGGTCCTGGAGCAAGCAATGTAAGCACTTACTTTCTACCTCTATTCATGTTAGCTTTGTATTCCTCGAGGTTTTCTCCCTCTGCCTACTTCCCCCTCTTCTGCTTCACTCTGTCGTTCCTTCTCCGTATCTTCCTCTCCGTATCTCCCTCTCCACGTTCTTTATCTTGTTTTCCTTCTTCTTTCCTTGCTTGTCACTTCTTCTTCTCGTTCTATTTTTCCTCTCCTCCATATCCCTCTTCCTCTCCCTTCCCTTCGTTTTCCTTTCTCACTCTTTCCCTCTTTACTCCTCTTTCTCATTCTGTTTTTTCCTTTTCTCTTCATTCCTCGCCCTCGTCCTTATGTTCTTTTTTCCTTCTTCTCCCTTATTTTCCATATATGTTTTTTCATTACTTTTCCCCTTTTTTCCGTCTCCTCATTCCCCACTTCCCTTCCTTTTTATTTTACTTGTTTCCCTCCTCGATCCGTATTTTTCTCCTTCCTTTCAACGAGTTAATTTTGTAAAGATCTCATTTCTTTAACCATTTAATGACTGTGACCCTCTTTTGGAATTTCCAGACTGTGCTTCGACGCGGACAGACACCATACCCCAAAAAGGCGTTCCTCTCACCAGATATGACAGCTGTCATAGATCGTGACGTTGTAGATGGTCCACCCACCGGACCCCCTAAAAGCATTTAGCGAGGAGTTAACTTTGTTTAGAGTTTTTCCATGCCTGCTTGCGTTATTTACAGGCTCCATAACAAGTGCAAGTCATCACGTAATAAATTGATCATTTTTCATCAGCCGATGGAGCGAATTGTGTGAAAGAGTTTATTTCGAGGGTGTTTTTCGAACATTTGCGAATCGGTTTCGCTTATGTCGAGATTGTAACAAAATTAAGGGAAGATTGTTTGTAATGATATGCGATAAGCACGAGTGAATTCGAAACTAATCCATGTTACTTTATCTCAGTTATATCCTTCTGTCCAAGTAGCAGTGGTTTATAAAGCTATTTCTTCTAAACATATTAACCCTGATGATGTCTTTTTTTTCAAATTAGTAAATATTGGAGTGACGTTTTGACTCAGTACTTTCAATTCATCGCGACCCGTTGGTCAAGATTAATTTTTTTTTCTGTTGGATATATTCCCTATTTGGGTAACACTCTGATGTTTTATCCCCATTATGGCATTGTCTCTTTGAAGTTATAATCTCCCTTGAAAGCAAATTCGTTTTTAAAAGAAAGCTGCTGATTGAGTTTCAATAAAATGTTAGATTGGATTATTGTAGAGTAAGAAACTTTTTGTTATAATTTTTTTAAATTTCATTAATGTAAGTAGCTGTTAACTTCCTACAATACAGCCCATAGCTTTTCTATAAATTTATTGTCGTAGGGAAATATATAGAAAGCGCATGCTTAAACTTGGGTTGCCGCTGGCTACGTGCATGGCTCGCTTACTGGAGTTCGTCGAAGCAAGATTAAACGGCCCATCAGTTAGAAGAACATAAGTGAACGTGAAATCCAAGCGTTTCTGAACAAGGTCCGAATGAGCCCGTGGTTGGACGCTGGTCCAATAGAGGTCGCAGTTGTTGCTAAACAAGGAAATCCTACCTGGGTTTTATAACTGAAAATCACTTTAGACTACAATCGTACAGTTTCATTTATATCAGATATTAATTTTTATTAAACACCAAAAAAAAATAAATAACGTTTCTCAAAATGTCATTTTTTGTGGTTTGTGTTACTTTCCTCTCAGATTATTTACATCGTCTGCATATACAAATAATTTTAACATGTTTTAACCTGGAACTGCCATCAATTTCAGTATCTGTGCAACTGTGTACCTACCCATGCTCCCCCCCCCCAATCCAACATTAACCCTAACTTGTTATCAGTCGAGTGGTGTTGGTTAATGGAAGGGGCAAGTGCTGCAGTTGCTCAGGAACTAAAATTGTTCCGAAATGATTAGCGATCTTTCTTAACCTGTGTGGCACTACGACTGTCTGTCGACAAATTACGACTTACTGAAAACTTTTTGTTACAAAAGATACAAAATATTTGAAAAGTTTACGCTAAGATATATCAGTACGAAATCAGTCTTACATGATTAATTTTCCTCTATGTTTAACGTTCTAGATTAAATTTTTAGAATATATTTACTCCGCTGCTAAAAGGTTCTATAAAATAAATTATTTTGTTGTTAAGTATAAATTCGTAATGCTTCTATGGGGGACTACAGTGTTATACTATTAAAAACATTTGCGAACGTTCGTAAGTCTAGATTTCGAATATAAACAATACTGATCTTTACATTAAATACATATATGTTTTTCTTTTATTCCGCCCGTTATTCCTCCTTGTTCGAGAAAGATGGAACAGAAAATGGAGAAAGACAGATGGAGAAAGATGGAGAAAGACAGAACTTCTCTAATTGATAGGTCCATGCGCGCGAAGATTCAACCAAGCAGAGGCTGTGTGAATTGATAATACGAGCTAATACGCTTCTCCCAGACCTCTCCCGTTCAATAGAGGAATAAAACGCGCGAAATATAGTCAAACGTCTTCAAAACTAAGCTTCTTCTGTCGTCGTCGGCAACAATACCGAAGATATTTTTCGGTATTGGTCGGTCTGATTACGCTCTGTTTATGTTTCTATCGCTTTACCGACGAACACCGACACCTCTTGCTGTACGTGTATTTATGCTTCCTAAACTTGACTGGAAGTGACGGACATCGAAGTGTGACGGTTTTCGTGAAGGTGCGTTGTGGCAGACAGCTTTCGCAAGTATTAAACAAGGGCTGTGGAGACTCGTGGCTGGGTATGTACAAGGAATTACACTGACCATAACAATAGTTGTTCTTGACGGTGACTGGTAAACAACCGTCGACTTTGATGGTTTGCCTGAACGAAAGTGTTTTGCACCAGCCGGTTTTCAGATCGGATTTCCTCATGATAAATACGTCATCGTCGTCTAGTGACTTGAGCCCGTCTTCTTCAATTTTAGACGGGCGGGCAACGGTTGTTGCAACGAGTAAGCAAACAACGATGAGTATCCTTAAGACCATTGTTATTCTGAAATTAAGAAAAGAGGGAAAAGTTAAACTCTTTCGCAAGGTCTTCGTGTCAGCATTATATTGAAAGTATAGTAGTTTTGTAAAGTAGAGTCTTTATTTTATCATAAAAGCAGCGATAGTGTTGTATTTTGGTAGCTTTAGTTTTGCAACAGAAATGTTTTCATTTTTTGCTGTATAGGAGTGTCAAAGTAAAACAAGTGTATTGCCTGGAGTGCCGGAAACCGCGTGTGATCGACCAGGTCGCGATTGGTTTCACTTTTGAATCTGATTGGTCGAGAACGTGGCGGGAGTTTTCTGCACCAATCACAAAGCAGATCAAAGGAAAACCTACGCAATCTCAGGTTACTCTCGTCATTCAATTTAAAAAAAAAAAGGCTTTCAATACGAAAAGGGACAGCTGTAGTCAATCTGTGCTGCCATTCAACCCCAAAACCAACCAATAAGCATCCAATTCCTCCGTACAATATCATCACTCAGTCAAACATCAAAGTCATGAGAATTAAGAAGAATGATTGTTAAATAAATTCTCTTTACAGGATCATAGGAAATGTCTAGAGAACAAACTGGAGAAAATGGATGCTGAATTTAGGGTGCAAAGAGTTAGCATTATTTCTGCAAATAAACCCAACAGATTGAAAGCAAGCAAAATAAAATTGGAAGAAAGAAAAAGGTGTTTTGTCCATTTCCACAAGGCTTGAATCTTTGTCTACCCCAAAGGCGGTCTGATATCAAATTTATATCATAGAACAAGCAAGATATTGTACTATTTATTACTGTTGCCAACCAGTCTGATATCTTAAATGTAACAGGACTAATATAACTGCCCGATGCATGACTCATCTCTGATCCCAAAAAAAGATTATGATTGAATCGTCATGATTACAAAGAAAGTCAAAGGGGAAAAAACGTTTTTTAGCAGGAAAAACGACCAGTTAGGAAAAATAAGTTAAAAACTTAAATTTTACGAAACTGATTGGGACTGATCGCCTGAAAATAATTTTTTGGTAAAAGTTTATCCATTTAATTAATTTGGGATAATTTGTGTGCTTGCTTATTTTACTGTGTTTTATTTTTTTTAGATTTCCCTTAACATTCCATTTGAAAAATCTCATCGTGTACAAAGAAAATTTTTTCTAGTCGAATTGGATTCAATTTTATAAAACAAGGTATTAATGAAATAAGGAACCTAATCTTTAGGGAGGGAAGTGAAAGACAAAATCAAATAATAATAGAACTCGGAATATATTTGCCCGATATTTTGCTTTTGAAGAAAACGCTTTTAAAGGGGCTAAACGAAACATAGCAGAGGTTCCGTAAGAAAAATCGACCGCTGTTTTTTTCCCCAATATTTTGCTCTGGAAGCAGGACAAACCTTTAATTCGCAGTGGTTAGAAGGAAATAAGTACCCGGTCCCTTTGAATAAACGTTTACATTCAGTTAATAAGTATGAAATATTTACCGTTGGTTTATTTTTTTACTTAGCTTCCGAGGAAGGTTTGCTTTCTAAACAAAAATATCCGATACATGTTTCTTTTAACTGATATCCGTTTTCGTTTATACTGATTCAATTCTTTTCGCGCTACCGCATGATATAATATGACATACTTGAGGCAATGTTTTTATCCAAACGAAGTTCTTATCAAAGTAATTCATCTAATTAAAAGCCTTACCTCTGTTTAAACACTGATGAAAAGTCCTGCTTTGCTCGGATTTCACCAAAATTTAACAAACAGGACAAAAGCACTTTAAAAAATCCTCACAATTTTCCTCAGACGTTAATTAGTTCTGACTTCAAATGTTCGTTGTAAACAAACAACTTGATTTGCAAGAATTTATAGTTTTACTTTTAGTCACGTGTCAGTGAACGGGATCACGTCATTGTCACATGATTGACGTCACATATCATCGTCCAATGCGCATTAAGGATCGCTGCAATAACGAAATAAGCGGTGTATTTGTGGCTTGAAGAGAATGCTTCCAGAAGTTTCACTCCATCCAAACATAGGGAACCCTAACGTTTTGCTGTTTAAAATTATTAAAAGCTTCGCGGTTTGAACAACACACGGAAAAGGAAGACAAGACGTCTGGTAGTCAAGATATCTGAAGAGGTCACTTTGTACAGCGACTGCGTGCTATCCACGCGAATACGTCATCCTCTTTGCATCGCATCAATGAATCCTCCAATTTACCTCAGTACAATAGGACTCTTTTTCTACATTAACAAAACTAATCTAACATTTTCTACTTGAGCATTTTAGTTCCTAAAGTTCTGATTCGTATTACAACAGAAGAAGTAAATAGAATCAAAACATCTTTCCATTTTACCTAAACCACAACCATTACGTAAAATTTGCGTAATGGTTTGTTTTGATAGAATTGCCTCTTAAAGTGACATGTGATTTTTTTCCGTAGCATCTCAAAAATAGCTTTTTATTACGGGAGTAGCCGGAAACACGCTTAGGAGCTTAACTATTGTTTCTCGTCAGCCCGAAGGTCATGTAAATGTTTGAAGATTAATTTCGTTTGTAGATTGAATTTACCGCTCCTTTAGTTCCAGAGGTTTCAATGAGGGCTTACAGGCTGTCGGCCGCCACTAACACAGTTTTTTTTTTTTCCATCATCTGTTCAGCCTACGACTAGCCTCTCGTGTTTGGTTTTCGCTTTACGGCCCCTTTCCGGGCATAGCCGCCTTACACACCATCTACGGCCGCTTACAGAAAAAATTATTAAAACCTCTGAGTTCTGTCGTAAAAGCGCTATTAAGGTGTGTTTCTCAACAGTCTAGCAACAGCTGTCAAGAACCCAGCTGATGTCATGTCAAATACTTGTATCACGAACCAGTGAAGTGAGGAATATAATCATCAGTGGCCCTCTACATGATATAGAGACAATTCAGTCACTGCTATCTCCTGTAACATGCTTTGTGATGAGTTAAACGTTTTACATAATTCCGAACATCCTACTATCTGCGATTATAACAGAAGCGTAAACACAAAAGCGCGCCAGAAAATTCGAAAATTTAATTCCTCGCAAACTTTGCTCTTTGTTATTAAAAGTTATTCTTAGACCAAAAGCTATGCATAATCTTAGAAAATACATTCATTCCGAAGAGTTTTACTTTAGTGTTAAATCTCTCTTACGGACAGGCATCTAACCTAAATTACACACCACAGTTTTCGAGTGTTAAGCTCACGACAACCATCTTTACCCAAAAATGATCATTTGACACCTGCTAGGTTTAAAAACTGATAAAAAAACTTTGTAATCACAATTTAATTATAGTTTTTGTTCACTTTTTATTCCTTTTGTGTTCCCGACAGCCCCCTCTATGGCGCCGGAAGACAATTCCCTTCTCAGACAAATGAAAATTGTGAACAACGAGTGCATTCCACCTAGCAAACAAATACGTGTGTGGCAGAAAAGCGATCTCTAGAACAGGTAAGAACAGGAACTAATTGAAGAGTGCTAATGACTTCAACGCATTTTTGCCACTGGCGCGTTTATCTCTATTAACGAGATATTTATTTAGATAAAAGCTGTTTTCTGCTCCTTATGGTGTCATTGTAAACAGCCTTGTTTTCGCTGCGGGACATTTATTGTTTGAGATTTTTCCTGCTGTTATTTAAGCACGCGATGCAATTTTTCTTCTT